CATTCTCAAAGTTTCAAAGCTTTCATCTCCTATTTCATACCTGGTCATCCAGAAACTTTCAAACTTTTGCAATTTTATTGTTTTTTTATTTATTCTATTTTTTTTTTTGTGGGTTTATTTCATCTAAGCTTAAAGTTTGAAGTGAATCCATGTCTCTAAGAAAATTATTTTTTCATATGGAATGAATATTTGTTCTTGTGGATTTCAAGTTGAACTGAAAGTATCATGGACACCAAGAAATCCAGGTCGACGCTTTTATGGGTGTAAATTTGACAAAGTAAGTGAACCATTTTCGGATTTCATTTTCAGTGTTGTCATTTCTTGTGTAAATAAGAAGCGGACTTAATTTTACCCAAATACGGTCGGGTTCAGGTATTTTAGTATTGACCCGTTTGACATGGATAAAAGAATCAAGTGGAAATATTTAATTGGATATTTATTACACCTCAGATTTGTGTATACACATGCGCCATATGTTTTGTTCTGGTTTCAACTTTTGTATTAAAGAGGAACATAAAAAATAGAGTAGGAAGACCAAAATGGAACATATAAAATAGAGTTGGACGACCAAAATAGAACAAAGTTAAGATAGAATGCCAAAATAAAAAACGGTGCCAAGTTGAATGGGCTATATATGTATTTGGCCTTTTTTAAAAAATACATACTCCCATCAATGTCGGGGCATTAATGGCAAAGTTATCTTGAGTAGTTTATCTTATTTGCACTGACGTATAAATAATTTTTATACATAGTAATTATTTCGTTGTGATGTTGTTTTCCTTTTTTTTTTTTTAACTTGTTTTATTTACTATTATGTAAAGTTATATTTTGGTAATTTAACTGTGTAAAAGTTGTTTTACAATGTCAAACGTAAAAGTTAGAAAAAAGGGCAGCTCGGTGCACTAAGCTCCCGCTATGCACGGGATCCAGGAAAGGGCCGGACCACAAGAGTCTATTGTACATTTCTGCAAGAGGCTGTTTCCACGGCTTGAACCCATGACCTCCTGATCACATGTCAGCAACTTTACCAGTTACGCGAAGGTTCCCCTTCCCAATACGTAAAACTTATTAAATTCTACTGATTTTTTTTATCTTGCAGCTAATTTAAGTAAATAGCTGACAACTTGGAAGGATGTTGTCAATTGATACTTGTCGCTCCATTTTCTTATCCACAAATGCTGATATTTTGTTTCTAGCTCATGTGATAATATTATATATACTAGGTTGGTAGATGGAACAATTTTTATAAAAATTAGGTAAAACTTAATTTTGTCACCGAAAGAAAAGTATCTTCCTCTAAATTAAATAAGAGTTTAAATTTAAACTAAAAAAATTTACACTGATAATGTATAGTATAATTTAACCCATAAAAAAGTTAAATCCTACTAAGATCGACCGAACTTAAGAAATTTGGCTCGAATTATGACAAATCCGGATATGATGGGATAAAGGGTTCTCAACGTTGTGTGAATCGTTCATTTTAATGTACTTTGTATTAAAAAATCATAACACATTCTTCAAATTGATAAATACTTGTATGTGCCCCTTATTTATACACCTGTATCAAATACGCAACTGTAAATACGTTCATGCAACATAAATAGGATATATATTTGGGTTCTCCTTTATGTTATAATTTCAGGTTACTAAGACCAGAGAAAGAGTAAATTAAGGACAACTCTACTACTTTTCTCTACGAAATTGCCAAAGGTTTACCATTGATTTGATGTTACCTTTTCTTGAGGTATATATCTCTTGAGGAATACCAATTATCTATCATTAGTCATGCTCTAATATTTGCTAACTAACATGGTTATAATTAGTTACTTCGTTACCACGTGACATGCCATATCAGCGCCCCTAATCTATATAAAAAATACTAAAATTTAAAATACAATATTTTTATGGTAGCGGTGATGGTGGCAATAGTGGTGTAGGGGAAGGAAATTTTAGTGGTGGGAAAAAAATGAAGGGAGGGGTAAAATGGGTTAGGGGCATTGAGGTAGCAAGCTATGTGGCATTCACCTTATCAAATGTCAGTGCCACGTATGATTGGATGGCCACTTTGGACAAACATAACGGAAAAAGCGTATATTTGAACCAATAGTATAATGACAGAAATATATTTAGATTCAAAGTATAACGAGAGGTACCTTTAAACCTTTTTTTTTATAGTACCGGGGTAGAAGAGAGGTACATTCTTTTCGACTCCTTTTCACACATGTTTTATTACTTGTGAATTGATTAAAACTCAAGCCAATAAAGAGCATCAAAATGAAAGCGATGTTAAACCAATATAGAGTAACACTTTTCTCACCAAAGATTAGTTTTGTCAATGCGTTTTGAATGTTTTTATGTACAAAATAACTTTAAGGGTTTCGTGTTGTTAACAACAATATAATCTAGTGCTTTTACGTCCATATAATAAATCATCATCCAAACATACAGCTGCATTATTATATAATTAAATTCTATAATCATTTATCCTAAACAAGAAGCTTTAGACATTGGGATTAAATGCATCAATCCACGTTGTGCATGGAATAAGGTTATTTTCTGATCTCATCAACCGCTACAACAACAACAACAATCCAGTAAAATCCCACTAGTAGGGTCTGGGGAGGGTAGGTAGTGTGTACGCAGACCTTACCCCTACACCGAAAGAGTAGAGAGGCTATTTTTGGAAGACCCTCGGCTCAAGAAAATAAAAGGACAAAAATGAGACAATATTAGTATCACCACAGAAATCGTAGGAAAAATAGGAACAATATGAAATCTAGAAGAAATATGCAAAGCAAAAGCGAAAGCTAATCAAAAGGTCCTGCATTGAAAAGCAAAATAGCAAGACACAACATTGCCACTAACTATCTTAGACAAAAAACTCTATCAGACTAGTCTTACAAAGGTGCGAAGTAAGGCAAGACTCAACTACCTCCTAACCTACAACCCTAATACTCGACCTCCACATCTTCCTATCAAGTGTCATGTCCTCGGAAATCCGAAGCCTCGTCATATCCTGCCTGATCACCTCACCCCAATATTTCTTAGGTCGCGCTCTACCTCTTCTCGTGCCCTCCACAACCAGCCGTTCACACCTCCTTACCGGAGCATCTGGGCTTCTCCTCTTAACATGCCCGAACCATCTTAGCCTTGATTCCCGCATCTTTGCATCAATGGGAGCTACGTGCACCTTCTCCCGAATAACATCATTCCTAATCTTATCCATCCTAGTATGCCCACACATCCACCTCAACATCCTCATTTCTGTTGCTTTCATCTTCTGGATATGTGAGTTCTTAACAGACCAACACTCAGCCCCATACATCATGGCCGGTCTAACCACCGCTTTGTAGAACTTTCCTTTGAGTATCGGTGGGACTCTCTTATCACACAAGACTCCAGATGCTAACCTCCACTTCATCCATCCTATCCCAATACGGTGTGTGACATCCTCGTCGATCTCCCCTCCCCCCTGGATAATCGACCCAAGGTACTTGAAGCTGCCTCTACTTGGGATAACCTGTGATTCAAGCCTCACATCCACGCCAACTTCCACCGGCTCAGCGCTGAACTTACACTCTAGGTATTCCGTCTTCGTCCTACTCAGCCTGAAACCCTTAGACTCAAGAGTCTGTCTCCAAACCTCCAGCGTATCGTTGACACCGGCTCACGACTCATCAATAAGATTTATATCATCGGCGAATAACATGCACCATGGCACCTCCCCTTGAATATGGTGTGTTAGCGCGTCCATCACCAGGGAAAATAAGAACGGACTGAGCGCAGAACCTTGGTGTAACCCCATTACAATCGGAAAATGCTCAGAGTCGCCTCCTACTGTCCTAACCCGAGTCTTAGCCCCATCATGCATGTCCTTAATTGCCATAATGTAGGGAACTGACACACCTTTTGCCTCCAAGCATCTCCGGAGAACTTCTCTAGGAACCTTGTCATACGTTTTCTCAAGGTCAATAAACACCATGTGCAGATCCTTCTTCCTCTCTTTGTACAGTTCCACCAACCTCCTAACAAGGTGTATAGCTTATGTAGTTGAACGACCCGGCCTAAACCCAAACTGGTTGTCGGATATAGACACTGTTATCCGCACCCTTGCTTCAACCACCCTCTCCCACACTTTCATGGTATGACTCAGTAATTTGATACCCTTATAATTGTTACAACTCTGGATATCTCCTTTGTTCTTATACACTAGAACCACTGTACTCCACCTCCACTCATCTGGCATCCTCTTCGCCTTAAAAATAACATTAAACAACCCAGTCAACCACTCCAAACCTGCTCTCCCCACACACTTCCGAAATTCCACCAGAATCTCGTCTGGCTCGGTCGCTCTACCCCTACTCATCTTACGCATAGCTCCCACGACCTCCTCAACCTTGATGCGCCTGCAGCACTCAGAGTCACGGTGACTCTCGAAATGCTCCAATTCGCTTATCATAATATCTCGATCCCCTTCCTCATTCAGAAGTTTATGAAAGTAAGTCTGCCATCTCCTCTTAATCTGGGCATCTTCCATCAATACTCTACCATCTTCGTCCTTGATGCAACTCACTTGGTCCAAATCTTGAGCCTTCCTCTCTCTTAACTTGGCCAACCGGAATAATTTCTTCTCCCCGCCTTTTTCCCCCAGTTCCTGGTACATACGACCATAAGCCGTAGTCTTAGCCTCTGTCACCGCCAGCTTAGCTTTCTTCCTAGCTACCTTATACCTCTCCATGCACGCTCGCCTCTCTTCCTCACCTATGCTCCCCACTAACTTCAGGTACGCCGCCTTCTTCGCTTCCACTTTACCTTAGACCACTTCATTCCACCACCAGTCTCCTTTGTGCCCCCCAGAGACGCCTGTCGAGACCCCTAACACCTCTCTCGCAGCCTCCCTTATACAGTCTACTGTCGCTGACCACATAGTGCTCGCGTCACCACTGCTTCTCCAAGCTACCATAGCCGACAATCGCCCCTCCAACTCTTGGGCTTTATCCTTATTTTAAGGTTCCCCACCTGATTCTCGGTCTTCCTCGAGCAGACCTTTTCCTCCTCCTTAATATAATACCAACGTCCATCACCAAAAGCTTATGCTGCATCGCGAGTATCTCACTCGGGATCACCTTGCAATCCTTGCACAGCCCTCTGTCACCCCTCCTGAGGAGGAGATAGTCAATCTGAGTCTTTGCCACCGCATTTTGCAAAGTAACCAAATGCTCCTCCCATTTCGGAAAGCTAGAGTTCGCAATAACCAACCCAAAAGCCTTAGAGAAGTACAACAGCGAGGTACCTCCTCCGTTCCTTTCCCCAAAACCGAAGCCTTCGTGCACTTCACCATAACCACCTGCAGTCGACCCAATATGACCATTGAAATCCCCTCCTATGAATAGCTTCTCAGCAGGCGGAACCTGGCGCACAATCTCATCTAACCCCTCCCAAGAAGCGCCGTTTAACCTCCTCATCTAGGCTCGCATGCGGCGCATAGGTGCTAACGACTTTGAGGGTGCACTCTCCAACCACCAACTTAATAATCATCAATCTATCATTCACTCGTCTAACCTCAACCACAGACTCTCTAAGTTCCCTATCCACCAAGATACCCACTCCATTCTTACCTCCCTGGACTGCTGAGTACCAAAGTTTATACCCGTCCGCGTCCTTTGCCCTCGACCCTACCTACCTTGTCTCCTGGACACACGCTATATTAACCCTCCTCTTCTGGAGGATCTTCGCCAACTCAATAGACTTACCCTTAATGTACCTATGTTCCATGACGCAATTCTCAACCTATAGACGCCCTTGTTCCCTTTACCTTCCTTGCCTCCCGACCCACGCCCTAACCCTTGCCCTATCTCCCGCCCCACCCCCCGCTCCCCCCGAGGACATGACCTCACTCGACCATCCCAGACCACAGCCACTATACCTAAGACAGACTGAGGGGAATCACTAACACACACAAGGCAACAGACCGAACTAGAAAAAGACAAGTTACAACTACTGGCACACTAATACGGTAAATAAACTAATACGAACTAAGATAGCAACTTAACTAATACAACAAAGGAAAACATGAAAACGGGAGGCACCAACTGCTATTGAAGTAAAATACTTGTAACGTTTTCATATAGGAAATGTATTCAAATGCTAATTTTAATTAAGTAAAAATTTTATAAATGTAAAAGGTCAATGATTTTTGCAGTAAAATGATAATAAATTGCAAGTCACGGTATACTTCTATAATTTCTAAATCACCAAACATATTAGGTTACAACTGAAACCTGATTTATTTCAAATCTCACACTAAAAATAGATAAAATAATTTCTCAAAAAATATCACCATCGAGCTAAGAGATCTGAGGAGGTTGCTCTCCTTTAGAGCTTTAAACTAAACCAAAAAAAGAGAAAAATTAGGTACTCATAATCCCACACGCGCGCGCACACACAAAAAAAAAAAAAAAAAAAAGAGTGCAAGTACGTTATGCATGAACTTTTACACTATCATATAAAGCCGGTGTATATAATAACATATAACTCTTCAAAAAAGTTATGTATATTAGCCTATATATAAAATAATAACATGTTGTAACCAGTTAAAATTTCTATTTATACTGCAAAAATATTACACCATTGGCTAATATAATTTTAAGTCTAAAAATGATATAAACAAAGGGTAGTTAGAAAAAGGGCAAATAAGAGGAAGTTAAAAAAATACCAAGGTGGGGATGTATGTTTTTTCTTGGAGTGAAACAAGAGCAAAGCATGTCTTGTAAGAAAGAGGTTCCCCATATTTTGAGCTACTGTATATACAGTATAAAATTAAAAAATGTACATTATATATTACTATACATTTTATAGACATTAGCTTATTTGCAACAGATACCTTTTCAACCAATGTGTACTGTCCCTCCCATGTGATGTGATCCCTAGGCTACCTTACCCTCATGGCTTCCCGCATCCCTCGCCACCAAATTTTTTGTTTGTATTTATGTCTGTGACGACCAATTTGATTGTACACAGTTACACACTTCCATCTTAATTCTTATGCAACGGTATTTAATCAGACGCGGAGTCAGGATTTCAAGCTTATAGGTTCGGAATTCTAATCGTTTTAAGTTACTGTGTTAAATTAATAATTTATACATATTCAATGAATTTTTTAAGACAAATAAGGTTCGAACCAAAGCTACTGGGTACGGCCGAACCCGCTGGCTACACTCTAGCTCCGCCCCTGCATTTAATTGTACACAATTAAAATTCTATGATATTTAAATAAATAAATAAAAATGGAAACATATTTCAGAAAGAAAAGATTTTGCGAGGGGAGGAGGGAGGGGTGTTAGGACCGAAAAGAGTCAGGTGTCATGCGGAAGCTAGCAAAGCAGATCTTGAAAAACGATAAATTATGCAACAAAGAGAAATATACCAAAAGAGACACAAACATTTAACGTGGTTCGGTCAACTGACCTGCGTCCACGGCGGAGATGAGCAATCCACTATATAAAAGAGAGTACAAAAATCGAGATAACAACTTCACGAAGAGGCAAACACAAGCACACTAACACTTATCCCGTAAAGTTCTCCCCCCTAAAAACGACTCTCCAACCCCATATGGCTACATTGTGGATGCTACTGAATGAGAAGGACGGATCTTCAATTTATAGAACTCCAAACATTTTCCAACAAGAAAAGGGACAAGCCAAATATGGAAGAATTATATTTTCCTTCTAGGAAAAGAAAAACCCAATTATGGTAAATATTGTCTTTTCCTTCATAAGATAGGAAAACCAATTATGGTAAGAAAATCTGGACAAACACCTAACAAGGGGAGGGCCAAAATTTTCATCTATGCATGCAATAGAAAATATTACTTGGAGGTAATAATCTGAATCTTATAGCATCACAACTTCAATGATGATTTGATATTTTCTATCATTAGATGCATAAATATGATTATTTTCAAGAATTTTGTCATACAAAATGTCTGCAACAATACATTAATTAGTGTTGATGTTGAGACCTGGGACATGCGGCATGCAAAATAAGACGGTATACAAGTTGTGAATTTTTCCTACTAACGTTGAATTATTTCCCTTTTAATCTTCTTTGTATTGATTAGTCTGACGAAGTTATTTTAGAATTTATTAAAGAATGATTATAGATTACACAAAGTATAACCTTGCTTAGATGACTAAAATGCAAAAATTGGAGAGTTCATAAGATGATAAACTGAAAACTGAAAATAATATCTAAAAAATGTTAGGACCGAAAAAATCAGGTGTCATGCGGAAGCTAGCAAAGCAAACCTTGAACAACGATAAATCATACAACAAAAGAGAAATCTACCAAAAGAGACACAAACATTTAACGTGGTTCGGTCAACTGACCTACGTCCACAACGGAGATGAGCAATCCACTATAATAAAAAGAGAGTACAAAATATCGAGAGAACAACCTCACGAAGAGGCAAACACAAGTAACACACTAACACTTGTCCCGTAAAGTTCTCCCCCTAACAAGACTCTCAAGCCCTTTATGGCTACATTGTGGATGCTACTGAATGTGAAGGAAGGATCCTCAATTTATAGAAGTCCAAACCTTTTCCTACAAGAAAAAGGACTAGCCAAATATTGGAGATTTATAATTTTCTTTTACAAAAAGGAAAACTCAGTTAAGGTAATTATTTTGCCCTTTTCCTTCAAGAGATAGGAAAACCAAATATGGTAAGAAAATTATGGCAAACACCTAACAATTTGGATCTTTGTGATCCCGTGGTTTTTACCGTCGATTTGAAGGGTTTTCCAGGTTAAAATTTGGTGTTCTTTATCTTCTTTATTTTCGGGTTTGCCTCTTCCTCAACATAACAGTGATATCAGAGCGTTGGTTATTTATCCAGGTTGTTACAGAATGGAGGAGAATATGAGAAAGATGGTATGTTTAAATGGGAGAAATTATAATGTATGGAGAAGCAAGATGAAAGACTTGTTGTTCGTGAAGATGATGCATCTACCCGTTTTTTCAGCTCATAAACCCGAGAGTATATCCGATGAAGATTGGAATTTCGAGCACCAACAAGTATGTGGATATATACGGCAATGGGTTGAAGATAACGTTCGCAACCATATTGTGAACGAGATTAATGCGAGATCATTGTGGGAAAAGCTAGAGACTCTTTATGCTTCAAAAACACGAAACAACAAATTGTTTCTGCTAAAGCAATTGATGACCTTTAAATACAAGGAAGGCAACCCTATCCTTGATCACATAAATGATTTTCAGGGCATCCTTGATCAGCTATCTGGAATGGGAGTTAATTTTGATGATGAGATACAAGGACTTTGGCTTCTTAATACTCTGTCAGACTCTTGGGAAACTCTTTGTGTTTCTTTGACAAATTCAGCTCCTGGAGGTAAGGTGACCATGGAATATGCCAAGAGTGGTGTGTTGAACGAGGAAGTGAGAGAAAATCTCAGGGTTCGTCCTCACAAGTAGATATCTTGGTTACAGAAGACCGGGGGAGAGATAGAACAAGAGGCTCAAGCAATAGAGGTAAAAGTAGAAGTAAGTCAAGGTCCAAAACTATAATATTACATGCAACCACTGTGGCAAGAAAGGACACATCAAAAGGTTTTGCCGCAAGTTGAATCAAGACACTAGAGAAGGAAAGAAAGTTGAAAATAACGAGAACAATATTGTTGCTATTGTTCGAGATGACCTTCTTTTTGCTTATGATGAAAACGTCATCAATTTGGTATCCCATGAGACTAGTTGGATAGTAGATTCTGGAGCTACCTCACATGTCACACCAAGAAAAGATTTTTTTCTCATCTTATACTGTTGTTGATTCTGGAGTGTTAAAGATGGGCAATGCCAGTGAAGTTAAGGTGTTTGGTGTTGGCACAGTTTGTTTGAAAACTAATAATGGTTCAACGTTAGTTCTTCAAGATGTCAAGCATGCTCCAGACTTTCCTTTCAATTTGATCTCCGCAGGAAAATTAGACGAAGAAGGTTACCATAATGCCCTCTTTAATGGCCAATGGAATCTCACTAAGGGCTCGTTAGTAGCGGCTCGGGGAGTCAAGTCTGGTTATTTATATGTGACAAAGGGCTCTATTCTTAATGACTCAATAAATATGGTGGAAGGTGATACTTTATCAGAATTGTGGCACAGAAGATTGAGTCATATGAGCGATAGGGGGATTACATGTTTGGCCAAGAAAAGTTTGCTTTCTGGATTGAAACAAGCAAAGCTGAAAAGGTGTATCCAGTGTTTAGCTGGCAAACAGAAAAGGGTTTCCTTTCATAGTCATCCTCCCTCAAGAAAGCCCGATTTACTGGAGCTAGTACACTCTGATTTGTGTGGTCCTTTTAAAGTAAAGTCAAAAGGTGGTGCACTTTACTTTTTGACCTTCATTGATGATCATTCTCGTAAGCTCTGGGTGTATCCTTTGAAACCTAAAGATCA